GAGGAGGGTAATTTTCCGAAAAATTTCTAATTTCCCGGATCAGACCCTACTCTCCAGTTACCGATACCAGACCCATATTGTAAGATACGGTCTTCCGAAGCCGACAAATTTTACAACTCCGAAAATCCGAATTTTTTGCACAATCTGACAACATTGTACACAAAATTCACTAATTTCTTGAACCATCCGGCAACACTGTAAAATGCGATGTTGCAAAATTTTACCCATTAATAAATCATTTATTAACGTGCACCGTCCGGCAACGTTGTAACCGCCATCTTTAAGAATACACCATTCCATAAACCGCATATTGAAGGGGCTACATTACACCATTGCATAACCCGCACATTGAAGGGGCAACATACAATACTTTCTTCTTTACAGTGTTGCCATATTGTACAATAATCACCATACAACGCTGTAATTTAATTCATATTTTTCTGCACCATCGTGCAACGCTGCTGGATAATTTACTGTTCTAAAGTCATCATTTTCACCCTACTATGGGAGCAACTTCCCATGAGAGCCACCTCTCAGGGCAGTAATTCCCCTGCTTAATACAGCCTGAAAGAAATTCCCATCAGAAATTTATAGCAGGGGATCCATGCTAAAAGTATGATGAATTTTGATTGTATTTGATATTATGAGACTTTAAAGGCCGAAAATGTCCAGCCGGTTACGCGTCGCCAACCCCGCGATTTTGAAGCAAAAGAGGAATTAGCGATAGTAAATCAGTACTGATCATAGATTTTTTGGCAAAATTTGCCAAACGGCGACTCTAATCTATCTACCTATCTATCCCTCCGTCCGTCCGTCCGTCCGTCCGTCTTTCCGTCCGTCCGTCCGTCCATCCATCCGTCCATCCATCCATCCATCCATTCATCCTTCCATCCATCCAATAAAGGGAAGATATCGCTCTTTGTTTATCCATCATCGATATATCGTTGGATACAAAGCTGGATTGACAGAGATAAAACGGGATTTATTGATATTAACCAGGGAAGAGGGGAGGAATTTTAAAAAAAATGGGAAAAATCACTATGATACGGGATATATATTTATAAAACAGGATGGATAGGGGTAAAATATGACAGATAGGGATAAAATGTGATAGATAGGGATAAAGTAGGATGGATAGGGATAAAATAGGATGGATAGGTATATCTCTGAATATATCCCACCCACCGATAAATTGACTTGTGTTTATCTATCTTCGATATATCGTTCGAAATTGAACAGGATAGAAATGGATAAAACGGGATGTACATAACCGGGATAAAAGGGAGGATACCCCTCTTTATTTATCTATCTTCGATGTATCGTTTAATATAAAGCAGGATAGGCAGTGATAAAACTGGATTGTATTTTCAGAAAAGGGTTTTAGTGTGACATGGGATTGATAAGGATTAAAAAGGAGAGATAGGGATAAAATGGGGTATTATTCGGCGATCATTGATACATCGTTCGATGTAAAGCAGGTGTTAGCATATTGTATCAATATGCTAGTATTGAGTTTTAAAGCATCATACTGAGTAACACAGTGTTAGCAATACATATGTTAGTTCTATACCAGCTACGTGTGAGAATTAAGTTCTTTAGTGATATACTAAATGATTATAACCTAACCATAAATGAGTTATTATATGTTAGCATTAAGGGGGGGTTAGATAAAATGGGATGTATTGATATTAACCGGGTTGAATGCTGGAATAATTCCGGAATTCTGAGGAAAGGGGAATAATCTTCTTAGCAACCAAGGAGCCCAACCCCTCTGGACTGCCTCACCTGGCACCCAATCAAGGAGCCGATCCATCGGAGGGCTGAAAAACTTCCTAGACCATACACTTTGGGGGCTTCACACCAAACACATCAAACATATCAAACTCGCCAAACACAGAAAACACATGAAAACATGGAACACACACACACACAAGACACATCAAACAAACCAAACACATCAAACAGACCAAACACATCAAACAGACCAAACCCACCAAACACAACAAACAAATCAAACTCACCAAACACAAAAAACACATCAAACACATGGAACACCTTTTTAGTAGCATCTGCGTCCATTTACAATTATTATTTTAAAATAGCTTTGAAAGTATTTGACATCTCAGAAATGCAGTGCGAAAGAGTCATTTTTGTCGAACCAAAAACCAACAAGATACCCCGTGTTTACTTCGAATCCAACTGTAAACGTCGTAATACCAAGCTTCCGCCATTTTCCAGATGCAATAGGATTGATAGGGATAAAACTGCATCCATCCCGTTTAATCTATTTTTATCCTGATTCAGTTACATTCATCCTTCCAGTAACGATGAATTTGATTTTAACTTGATTTTTCGAAAAAATCAAATTTTTGGAAGTATATAAACATAACAAATGAGAAAATTAAACACTAAGAAGTGGCCCGAAACTGTACGTAACAAGGTGGAGAAATGGTGCTGGGTCCACACCATTTCGCGGGGAATCAAAGCCAAGAAATACCTAAAAATTAAATTAGAGTCAAAAATAAATTTTTAGAACTCTAATGCGCACCAGTACGAGACTAAGGGGGGAGAGTGTTCAGCTCAGGTAGTTTGTAATTTTATTTTTTGGTATTTCTTGGCTTTGATTCCCCGCGAAATGGTGTGGACCCAGCACCATTTCTCCACCTTGTTAACATAACAAATATGCTCATCCTCTCTCAAATTAAATCAATCAAAAACATATCCACATCACTAAACTTGGGAATTTATGTAATTACTGAAGGTAAGTTTTCAGTTAAATTGATAATGTATGATTTGAATGAATAAGCATCTTAAGGAACTTTAGTAGTATTAATGAAAATTACAACGTTACATGTACGTTGAAAATTAAAGGAATAGCTACATGCATTGATGGATGTGGGAGGTAAGTAAGAGCTACCGCACAAGAGGCAGAGCTGAAATTGATCCGGTTGTATGCGGATTGGACAAAAAAACCATAGGTAGTCAAAAAAATGAAGGATCAAAGACTACTGGACCTCGCAACTATCCTTCAACAATAAACAGCTTTAAAACGAATATAATCATGAATGTATCGGCATATCAATACAGCTAACCGCGCAAGGCGCTGGTATACAGCTAGTGTTCAATAAAATTGTTATTTTGAACTAAATTGTTTATTTTTATGTGCGGAAAGTCATTAAAAAGAATGTCAACAACATTTAGCAATGTATTTGTGCAGTTGTATTAAATGCAATGTTTATCTCACCAGACGAAACTAAGATTTTCAAAGCTATCATCACGTTGTTCGCTAAAGTCTTCAAGACCGAACCATTACTAATAAGTCGGTTGGTTCCACAATAAAAACTTTAATTTTGATGAAAAACAGAGATTTTTAGGTCTGTGGCAGTAATTACACACTGAATGTAATATTATTAGACTAACAGGAAGTCCCCAAAGTCTAGAAAACTTTAAAGGCAACATTAATTTCACCTCATATCTCAAGAACTGCCAAGTTTTATCTTTTTTATCATGTTTTATTTCACATTTTCAAGTGTCAGTTACGCTGTGTCGGTTACGTAACCGATAAAATTTGGCAGTGCCGCCATGTTTGCGTGGACCTCCAGCAGTCTCGCGGGAGGAGCTGATGCTAAAGTACCTACCTTAAGGTGAATTTACAGCGGTGCATAGTAAGACATTTTTTCGTGCAAGGAGCGCTACCCCTGTGTTTTGATTTTTCGGTCCAGGCTATTAGAGTCCGTACAGCTTCACGTGAGTCCTTGAGCTTTTATGAAAGTTAAGTGAACTTCTGTTAAAATCGAAGAGTCATAAGTTCTAGCTATAGCATTCTTCTTCCTATTGACACTAAAAAAGACGTGAGAAGTAATTTCTGAAGCTCTGAAACTTGATCCTAGAAAAAAGTAGGGTTAAGCATGATGACCTTGATGCAACCAATCGCGAGTGATCGCTCTCAGCAGTTGTAGATATCTCTCTCCCACCGTGAGCTGTCTCTCTCGCACTTACAGATATCCCATGAGAGAAACTGGGATCAAGTTAAAGCTTTTATCATTAAACTTTCAAAGCTCGCGTTTGTTTCTAAGCATTTCAGACGTGTGCTGCTAAAACGTATGAGTCTTAGAATTTAATATATCTATTGTGATATTTAAATAATCACTGATTTCGGAGCTGCATTTTAGCAGCCCGACGTGGTGGATTTTTTCGGAACTACAGCGGAATATATCGCAAATCGGCATATATAACGCATCACCTTCATGGCTGATACCTGTTTGTCGATCACTATGACTTCGCACTGAATCAAATTAGTTCGTGCCAAAGCTGGGAAAAAGAAGTTTAACACCTTTTAAATAAAGGAATGACATTTGTTTAAAATTGGTGCACTTTTATTTTTAAGGTACCTATTGCACATTTTAGCTATTTCTATTATCGTGAAATCACCCAGAGCCATTTCTCTTGGTCGGGGGAAAACTATTTTTGTGCGGCTAGGTGAAATAGTTTTTTCTCGTATGGGAGAAATGAAGTTTTTCTCTCCACTGATGGCAATATTTCTCAGCCCGTAAAAAAAAAAAAAGTTTTCCCCTCGAAAAAAAGTTTCTCCCAATTTAAAATAAAAATTTCCCTCCTCGTAATAAGAGAAGTTTCTCCCCACAGAAAAAAGCTTTTCCTCCACGGTAAATAATATTTCTCCCCGGGGTTACGGAAATGATGCCATAGGTAATCGTGGTCCGAAATTCTGTCGCTCGTACTTACCAAATCAATTCGGATAATCGTCAGTCCACTGTATCCTGACCCTTCGTGATCCCCTATTTAGGAAAAATGCGTGGCTTTAATTTGCTATAATATTTCACTTCATATTTCCACCAAAAGTAAACACTAAGGAACATAATTGAACAACTGAAAGCTACTCGTTTGGATCCCTCCGAAATTTTTAAATTTTTCTTTCACCAAGGATTGTATTTCTCCTTTTCTAGAAGTAACAATATTTTGAATGTAATTTCTGTTTGCAGCCGTTCAGATTTGGGAGCTCGCAGAAGGCAAGAGGAATAGCATGGACTTTGCAGAGGCTATTGACAGTTCAGATCTAGAAGCTTTTGGTTTCAACGACGACTTCATAATTGAACTTTGGGGTGTTATCACGGACGTTCGGTCAGGCAGAATTCATTGAGTGTTTCAAGTGTGTAATTTCACTATGTACCTAATAAGTATGGTTCGCCGTTTGGGCAAAAAGATATTCTAACAGAGAAGAAAAATGATAGAGAAAAAATATTCTGGGCACTGATAAAAGAAAATACACGATTGAGAAAAAAATTTCAGGACTGAAAAAAAAGAAAATGGTCGTGAAAAAATAATCAGACCCGAGAAAAAAAATTAATGTTGTCCAACATTCTTGAAACATACATTTTTGTTGATGAAAATTATTCTCGGAACACTTACGGCCATGTTACGAGGTTGTGCAATGATTCGGAGGAAATGTTTGTGAGATGGATAGTAGCCGGTACAGAATAGCCAACCTTTGAACACACAATCACCCTTGAGGATGCAGAGACGCACCCGTAGACAACCTAGATCGTTAAAATTTGCCTGTTTTTTCTGTATGAAGGCATTTCTTGCTGTCTTGGCAAATACTCGACTCAGTGTACCTAGGCTATACAGGGTGAGCGAAAAGTCCCCGACCCCCCCCCTCTAACTTTCGAACGAATTGAGCTAAGGAAATGAAACCTTGGGAATGTTCCCATCTCAAAGGGGACCATCTTTTGAGGGGGTAAAAATTTTGGTCCCCCCCTCAGGGGGGGACAGGGGCCCCCCAACTTTTTTTTTTCCAAATGGCAACCCCTATCTTGTGATACCTCATTCGAAAGACCATAAAAAACTAAGAATTTTGGCGTAAACCGCAGATCAATATCTCAATTTTTGACCGAGTTATGATAGGTCAAACCTATTTTCAAAAAATCATAACTCCGGTTCAAATTATCGTAAAGGAAAAAATAAAACGGGAAAATTTACCAAATTGTGTCCGCTTTTAAGTATAAATTGCAGAAATCACTTCGATTTAATTTTAAGGGGGGGCTCGGACCCCCAAATACGTCAATTCAAAGGTCATTCAATTTTCCTGCGAAATAAGCCAATTTTCTCTGAATTTGCCTCCACATTATCTCAGTAAGGTCAGAATCAGTTCAACATTACGTTGGCAAGTCCCCAAATTTCGGGAAAAGTTAAAAAAACGAAATTTAAACGGTCAAATTTAATCACCTTAAATTTCGTTTTTTTAACTTTTCCCGAAATTTGGGGACTTGCCAACGTAATGTTGAACTGATTTTGACCTTACTGAGATAATGTGGAGGCAAAT